TACAGTAAACTACTCCGTTGCATCCCGTTTCTTGGTTGCAGTTGCTTCACGAAGCTAACATCACTGGTGGAAACATTACGTTTATGTTTTACGACAGTTAAAATGTGTCAATTCGACTCACAAGTTTTCAGCGACACGGTAACGTTCGCAATGTTTACATTCCCACAATGCAATCGTGGAATGTCGCTTGACTACTCAGCTGGATGTACTGATCTAAACTTACGTTGGTAGTAGAAATGCGACGTTCATATTGCCCCATATGGTTTACGTTAATGACAGATGTAATTAAAATAATTCAGAGAAGATATTTAATCCGAACATAAACTGTCATCAAACTGTTATCATTTGTTTTTGTCTGGTAACGTTCGTCTTAACGTAGGGGGGCAGACACATCAATAGAACAGCCAGCCAGTAAGCCCTGTGCGAGGATTTTTAATTTAGGTCACCGACACCGTCGTTTGTTTTCTGCCTTAAATTAATCGTAATTATCCTTAGAAAGTATTAAATGTGGCATCTTAGAAAAGAAATACAGTTCGCTCTACCACCATGTATAGTGTAATAAAGCACACTTTTGCCCTGAACTATTATAACGTTAAAGCACTCGGACACAAGCGTCCTAGTACTTTAACTATAATAGTTCAGGGCGAAAGTGTGTTTTATTACACTATACATGGTGGTAGAGCGAACTGTATTTCTTAAATACAACATGAATGTATACACTATGTCACTCCTCCCTCCATACACCCTGAATAAATACACTGCATTCTGAAAGACATCCAGAATCTATCCAGGTCTTTCTCTGTGCATCAATAGGTGTGTTCTTCAATACATGCACAATGTATATCATCATGTTATGGGTTTACGAACACTTAAGAACATCCATTGTTGTCGATTATATTATATCTATATGTAACATGTACAAGTGTAAAACATGTTACTAACTTAATCCTGATGCCTTCATCTTAAACAGAAGCCATCTTCTGAGTATTTACAAAGTCTGCATGGGGCAACCCACAATGTTATATAGCAAGACTGAACACTGCCACCCAAAAAACCTATGATTCTACGATACACTGATCCTCCATACATCCTGAATGTATACACTGTGACACTCAATACATCCTGACTGTAAATACTGCAAACACACCAATAACATGTACACAGAATGACTCAATACATCCTGAATGTATACCCCAAGTCCCTCAATACACCTGAATGTATACTCCAAGTCCCTCAATACACCTGAATGTATACACTGTGTTTCTCCATACACCTGAATGTATACCCCAAGTCCCTCAATACACCTGAATGTATACACTGTGTTTCTCCATACACCTGAATGTATACACTGTGTTCCTCCATACACCTGAATGTATACAGTGTTCCTCCATACACCTGAATGTATACACTGTGTTTCTCCATACACCTGAATGTCTACCCCAAGTCCCTCAATACACCTGAATGTATACACTGTGTTTCTCCATACACCTGAATGTATACACTGTGTTCCGCCATACACCTGAATGTATACACTGTGTTTCTCCATACACCTGAATGTATACACTGTGTTCCGCCATACACCTGAATGTATACAGTGTTCCTCCATACACCTGAATGTATACACTGTGTTCCTCAATACACCTGAATGTATACACTGTGTTCCTCAATACATCCTGAATGTATACACTGTGTCACTCAATACACCTGAATGTATACAGTGTTCCTCCATACACCTGAATGTATACACTGTGTTCCTCAATACACCTGAATGTATACACTGTGTCACTCAATACACCTGAATGTATACCCCAAGTCCCTCAATACACCTGAATGTATACACTGTGTTCCTCAAAACAGCTGAATGTATACACTGTTTCTCTATACACCTGAATGTATACACTGTGTTTCTCAATATACCTGAATGTATACATGTATACACTGTGTTCTCCAATCCATACACCTGAATGTATACCCCAAGTTCCTCAATACACCTGAATATATACCTGTGTTCCTGTGTTCAATACACCTGAATGTATACCCCAAGTCCCTCAATACACCTGAATGTATACCCAAAGTCCCTCAAAACACCTGAATGTATACCCCAAGTCCCTCAATACACCTGAATGTATGCACTGTGTTTCTCCATACACCTGAATGTATACCATGTTCCTCCATACATACACCTGTTTCCTCCATACACCTGAATGTATACACTGTGTTCCCTCCATACACCTGAATGTATATCCAAAGTCCCTCAATACACCTGAATGTATACCCCGTCCATCAACACACCTGAATGTATCCCCAAAGTCCCTCAATACACCTGAATGTATACCCAAAGTCCCTCAATACATCTGAATGTATACCCAAAGTCCCTCAATACACCTGAATGTATGCACTGTGTTTCTCCATACACCTGAATGCATACACTGTCTTTCTCAATACACCTGAATGTATACACTGTGTTTTTCCATACACCTGAATGTATACACTGTGTTCCTCCATACACCTGAATGTATACCTAAAGTCCCTCAATACACCTGAATGTTCCTCAATAAACCTGAATGTATCTGTGTTCCTCAATACACCTGAATGTATACCTGTCCTCAATACACCTGAATGTATACACTGTGTTCTTCCATACACCTGAATGTATACAGTCCCCAATACACCTGAATGATATGCACTGTGTTCCTCCATACACCTGAATGTCCCTCAATACACCATGAATGTATACACTGTGTTCCTCCTCAATACACCTGATGTATACCCCAAGTCCCTCAATACATGAATGTATACACTGTGTCCATACACCTGAATGTATACCCAAAGTCCAATACACCTGGAATGTATACCCCAAGTCCCTCAATAATGAATGTATACACTGTTCCTCCATACACCTGAAATGTCCCATGAAATAAGTCCTCAATGTATACACCTGAATGTATACGCTGTGTTCTCAATACACCCCAAGCTGAATGGCATCCACATGTTCCTCCATACCCCCCTCAATACACCTGAATGTCTGCCCCAAGTCCCTCAATAAACCTGGATGTATGCACTGTGTTCCTCAATACACCTGAATAGCTTATATGGCCCCCAAGTCCCTCCCTCCCACACCTGAATACACCTGAATGTATACACTGTGTTCCTCCAATACACCTGAATGCATACCCCAAGTCCCCTGTGCTTTTATACACTGTGTTCCTCCATACACCTGAATGTATACCCAAAGTCCCTCAATACACCTGAATGTCTACCCCTGGATGTATACCCCAAATGAATGTTCCTCCATACACCTGAATGTATACCCCAAGTCCCTCAATACACATGAATGTATACACTGTGTTCTCCTCAATACACCTGAATGTCTACCCCAAGTCCCTCAATACACCTGAATGTATACACTGTGTTCCTCAATACACCTGAATGTATACCCCAAGTCCCTCAATACACCTGAATGTATACACTGTGTTCCTCCATACACCTGAATGTATACACCTGTCCCTCCATGCACCTGAATGTATACACTGTGTTCCTCAATACACCTGAATGTATACCCCAAGTCCCTCAATACACCTGAATGTATATACACCTAATGTATACACTGTGTTCCGCCAATACACCTGAATGTATACAGTGTTCCTCCATACACCTGAATGTATACACTGTGTTCCTCCATACACCTGAATGTATACACTGTGTTCCTCAATACACCTGAATGTATACCCCAAGTCACTCAATACACCTGAATGTATACACTGTGTTCCTCCATACACCTAATTTATACTCTGTGTTCCTCCATGCACCTAATGTATACTCTGTGTTCCTCCATGCACCTGAATGTATACCCCAAGTCCCTCAATACACCTGAATGTATACACTGTGTTCTTCCATACACCTGAATGTATACCCCAAGTCCCTCAATACACCTGAATGTATACACTGTGTTCCTCCATACACCTGAATGTATACCCAAAGTCCCCCAATACACCTGAATGTATACCCCAAGTTCCTCAATACACCTGAATGTATACACTGTGTTTCTCCATACACCTGAATGTATACACTGTGTTCCTCCATGCACCTGAATGCACCCCAAGTCCCTCAATACACCTGAAATCCCTATACACTGAATGTACCTGTGCATACAAACACGTGACTTTCATAGGGTGGGTAAAAAATAGAGCTATTTTTGGTTTCATGAATTCTCTTGAACTTCGATACAATGCTTAATTATAACACTTCTTTGTGTTTTTATACTGTTGCCTATGCATGGAAACTTGATTAAGTAGCATATTTATGTCAGACCGATTAGGGGATCACCTTGTTGTCATTAGGGATGCTTCTCATGGATTTTCTTGCATTTTTGCTATAAGCGGGGATTGTAATGGCCCGATCGAAAACATATTACAATCGAATGTAAGATGATAGGATACTTGATGATCCAAGGCGCTGCAAAAGTAAGTAACTTGCTAAGCGTTAACAATTGACACATGCTGACAACCCAGAAGTTAGTTAAGCTAGCGTAGGTATTTGACTATGAAATGACAGTCCAAACGATTATAATCAATCGATTATCGATCTGACACTACCAATAATCGATCCGACAAAATGTAACGATAATCAGCTCTATTTTCCATACACCTGAATGTATACCCCAAGTCCCTCAATACACCTGAATGTATACCCCAAGTCCCTCAATACACTATGAATGTATACCCCAAGTCCATCAATACACTATGAATGTATACACTGTGTTTTTCCATACACCTGAATGTACACAAGGTGTACCTCCATGACAGGTACCGGTACATACCTGCATGACAGTCCCTTACTCAACATGAAAACATGAAAGACACCGGTACATACCTGCATGACAGTCCCTCAACACGAAACATGAAAGGTACATATCTGCATTATGGCAGTTCATTCTGCATGTAAGTGTGGTGTAGAAATGACAAAAATGATTTTACATAAAAAGCTTGATAGGAACGTACCTGCATGACGGTGACTGCACCGTACGTGACTGCGGTCCAATAAACTGAACCAATAAAAATTCCACCTGCCACAAAGGGACACATCTTGTAGATGATCTTGTCTGCTATATCCATTATGTACACAATTGGACCTGGAAATGCAACCATATTGTTTGCTATGTACATGTAATTACATATTCCACATTTCACATACACCCCCGAAATGAGCTGGTAACTTTATTCTACCCATCTCTTAGTATGTCCCTCAACCCTGATTGTTCCGTTGCAAATTTCCTCTTATGTTTACATCATCTCTTTAAAATACTAAAACAGGCAGTTCAGAATCTGGGGCCAGATCAACATAATATTCTTGTTTGAGATATTTACCCTTATTTTTGCAAAACAAATTAATGCTTTGACAGAAATCATCAACTTTTTTTTACTAATTTATGTTTCAATCCACAACAATCTACAAGGCTTGCAGTCGCGACATTCATGGCCACAACACTGCGATATTAAGTTTTGTGGTGAAAGGGTTCTAGTTTCGGGGATGTCAAGGCGGCTACTGTGAAAAGGGTGTTTTTCAGAAAATTAATCTCAAACCTGCATCTGAACCCACTTACTACAACTTTGCCTTCTGACCAAGTTAAGTCTTATGACAAGAAAACAGATTTGTTTGTGTATATCTCAGTCAGTCATGAGATAAATATTATAACTTGGAAAAGTCACAATTTGGCTCTCTTGCTTTACTTATCAACTCACACATCATCTCATAAGTATTTGCCTCACCTAATTTGGGAAATATGATCATGTATTCAGTATTGCATTGTGGGCAGGCTACTTTGGCTGTGCTATTTCCCTTTTGTTTCTCATCTATCCATCGCTGCAGGCAATTCTGATGGACCCATTTTGTCGTTCCTTTACACCGACACGGGACGCACCCATGCAGCATCACGATCATCATCATCAGTGGCAAAACAAACCCAACAAGAACGTCTGAAAGGAAAGGAAGGTTCAGTATTCTCTGACCCTGAAGTGAAGTAAGACTTAACAATAACATAACAGTCAAGATTATAACACTTATAAAAGTACTATTCATGCATGTCTAGCTGTCTGAACTATCCCAGACTAAAGCCTCTTTATAGCACAAACTGCAGCATAACACTCCAAACCAACCATCCTTTTGCACTATCCACTAGACCACCAAGTTGACCTTGGAACTTGGATCAGGGGGTCGGACTGGCTGGCTTGGTAATGCATGTCACTATAGCCCAATTGAGTGAGCAACAATGAGCATGATTTTCAATCATTGGATATATATGTGTTTTACATCTATTGTCACTAATGTCACTACCTGTAATGTCATACGCATGATGACAAAATAAATACTACCATTATGCAAAGTTTATGACTACGCTTAGTTTTCATTACACCTGTAGAGCCATTCTGAGAAGAAACTTTTCTGTGGTATTTTGTGAACTGGAGCTCCAGTTGTGACCCTTAAAACAGTTGATAATGAAGAGATGTGATTAATGCACTAGTAGTCATAAGGCACTACCTGTACACATTCATTCCACATACAACAGCAGTTTGTTGCAAAAAGCTTTGTGTCTACTGGCTTGGACTTTGCATCATCTGCACTGGATACTCGTCATATTACGTGAACAATCGTAAGATGATCTTACTACCATATAGAATGTTACCAGACTGGCTTCACTTGTGTAAAGAGTCACATACAGCAACAACAATTGTATTATCATAATTTCTCAAAGATATGATATTGACTTCAAGAGGACAAACATATCATTTCATACTAATGGATCTATTCACATGTGACCCCACATATGCCACCTTTCAATAGTTATCACTTCATTAATTAACCAAAAGTCGACTATACGAGATTTGGGTCAAACTGGAATTTACTGGGAAACAGAAATATGGATTAATGACAATCAGGCGACAACTAACTCAAGTTGATATGCACTCAAATAAAAGTATTCTAGTTACCGGGTGTCGACTTCATCATCTTTTAACCTGCTTTGGGCCATTTCCGTCACAACTCGGTGCTATAAGTCTATGAGGGTAATATTTATGAAAACACTGTCACGGACAGTTTAGGGCTTTTCCTCAAACACGGCTGTCATTCATTGTCTTCATTCAACCACAAGCATGTAAATAAACGATATAAAGCAAGCAATATGCCAGTAAACAACGTGTCTTATCTAACTTTCACATAATGCGTGAGAAAATTATCAGTTGATACAGCGGTCACGGAAAAAACCGGAAACGTTTGTTGCACCGGAAGTGGACGAACTCCGGGAGCAGTCATTTCATTAAAATGTATAGATAAATCGGTTTTGTCTTTGAAATGATGTATCTGACAACAGAAATGTCAAATTATTTTGGTTTGTTGCTTGTAAACATGTAGATGATAAATAACTATAAATCTTTAACATATCTTAAACTACACTTTAAACTATCTTATAGGAAATATCAAAATTTCAAACTGAAAATGTCATGTTTCACTGTTCATCCAACAAACTTTTTTGTGTTTAGAAAATGCGTTCTTGAATATTAATAGTCTTATCGTCACGGGTCAAACGTAGGCAAGGGATTTATTCATAATAAAACGCCGATCCCACTGAAAATGAATATTCATTGAGATTGGGTTTATTCAAGATCTTCATATTCCAGTCTTACTAGTAACATTGGGAATTGGACACTCTACATTGATGCTGACTTAAGTCAAATCGTGTTCCGTCAACACTTAGTCCATTCCAAAATAACGAAGCACCCATAAATTTACGAGGCACCTGTCCACATATACTATAGCTCCGCTCATTGTGAGCTAAGTATATTTGAAGTAGATCAGCTTTACCAAGGGTAATCTTGACCACAATTGAAGTTTTCCCAAAGAGTTTAAGAAACTTGGTTAAACTTTCAATTAACACTCAGATCCCGAGTTCCCCATGGTGCTAGTTTTGTCCACACGACTTCAGTAACTGCCTGTAAATCACCGAGGGGCCGATACAGACTAAGAGCAGACAGTTTGAAGTGCCAATCCCACTTGCAGCCACGTTAATGAATGAATGAATTGTTTATTAAAGCGTCACGCATAAAATACGAACGACATGAAGGTGAATTATTCCTACAGGACTGTATTCGTTTTTACATAACTGTTTACGATGTTTTGCCTTGAAAGCTGTCTATAGTTTGCGCCCAGGTTCCCTACGACGACGTACAGGTTATAGGGGCAGATCGTATAACACTATTTTTCAAAACATCTAGAGAGAAATCAATTTTCAAAGGCAACTATATTTTCTCACTACTTTATGGCCCGGATGAGGTTGATATTCGTATTGTCATGGCAACCAGTATCGCAGGAGAATTGGTGGACTAAAACCTCGTCACTATCGTAGCGTAGAGTCGAAAAAGGTGGACAGGTAAATATAAAACTGTTTGAAGAAAGTTCATTATAAAGCACTTTTCATTTGCAAAACAAATGGCATGGAGAAAGAACATTGTTTTTGTAAACACATTCTGAAATTAGTTTGATAAAACATTTGGGTCCAATTCCTTTAATTCAATTTCTGATTCTTGAACATGTCGGACGCCATTCGGCACGGACACGCTGAATCTTTGTCACAGGGTCTGTTTCATTTACCCAGCCTTGCTGAATACCGTACATCCTTGGCTACATCTGGCGTCGTTGTATGTGCTGTGTTGTCAGCTCCAGCATGCATGTTCCCGATTGTCGTGGTCTTGTGTTGGCGACAACGGTTTGTTGACGTCATTTGTTTGTTTTGCGGAAAGGAATTGTTGTGATTGTATTGTTGGAGTCATAGTACTGTTATTTATTACCAACACCTAAATGTGTTACCGTCCGTGGTGTAGTGGACTGAGCGTATGCAGGGAGAGTGGACATTGTCCGCGTCGTCAGAATAGACGTAACAAGATGAAGGCGGTAGCCTCGTGGTTATAGCGTTCGCTCGTCCCAATGGAGAACCAGGTTCTATTCCTACATGGGTACAAATTCCATTTCTGGCGTCCAATACCTGCAACTCTCACGCATTTGGCTTGAGACTCACACTTTATTACTCATATCACGCTCTCGCAACGAAACGACCCTTTCGGCATCTCCATTTTTTTCTCACATGGGGTTGGAAGCTCTGCGCGTCCCCCGTCATTGCTGCAAGCGGCGTAAAAACATTTTCACTCACTATAAGATAAAACTTGCTATCACCCAGGCTGGCATTTGCCAGTCAGGATAATGTGTCTGAGTTTGGTGTCTCCACGCTTGCACAACAATACATTATAAAAACGGCCTATAGATCGCCAACAACTGCATGGAATTAAGTAGATCACCATACTAGAGACCATGGGGACTTACAGTGCTTTTGCTACCTGTATGGTCTCTAGATGGATTTAAACCATCCCTTCAGCTGTTAACATCTGTATGCAAGGTTAGCCATTTATATGAAATCGACATATATACTACGACTGAAAACTGTGGTATATATAACTATGCTTTGAATGACGTTGGCTTACACACCCAACATCCCCATCCCTCCCCCTCGGGGACTACGGATGTGGGCTTACACGCCCTCTCAGGGGGACTATACAGGTATTTATTTAATCAAATTTCACCATCCTACACATCACGACTAACAGATTGGGATCGCGTGGCCAGGCTCGCTGACGTGGTTCACACATGTCATGGTATTCCCATTGCGTAGATCAATGTTTATGATGTTATTCATTGGATTGTCTGGTCCAGACTTCATTGTTTACAGACCACCGCCAAATAGCTGGGATATTGCTGAGGGTGACATTAAACAACAGCAGCAACAATATACAGATTTTAAACCACTGTCGAAGTGTATTAAATTATATTGAATACTATATATAAATAATGTACCGTTATATAACCAAGAAATGGCATCTTCATTTACACATCTACAAGATTATATTATTGTAAGCACCAGTATTGGCGTTGGTTGAACATTTGGGGTATATGTAAAGAATAAATCATGATTGTTCGGTTTAACGAGAGAACGTTCATCTCGACATGAAAAACTCTGTACCCTTGTATCCCATTCTAATACGGAAATAGTTATATTTGAAACGTACCAAACCCGAATTTGTTTAAGAAATAGAAAATTTGTGTAAGAAAGTACATGACTGCCACAATCTGACCCGTGAAAACACGAAGCACAATACGGCAAGCATGGACATAGAGTGAGTGAGTTTAGTTTTACGCCGCTTTTAACAATATTCCAGTAATATCACGGCGGGGGACACCAGAAATTAGCTTCACACATTGTACCCATGTGGGGAATCGAACCCGGGTTTCGGCGTGACGAACGAACGCTTTAACCACTAGACTACCCCACCGCCCCTAAAAAAGACATCTATAGGGTCAGTGGAACACCTAACACCAACATATTAGTTCAGTGAGTGAGCAGGGGTTTACCGAAATATCACGACAGGTGGCACAAGAAACGGGATTGACACTTTGTAACCATGTGCGGATCGAACCCGGCCTTCATCGTGACAAGCGAACGCATTAACTACTAGGCTACCCCAATTCCCCATACACGTTAAGAATGCAAACAGACACTTCAAATGTTTCACAATGCCAAATCCGGTGTTTGTTTTGTCTATGAATAAATTTTCCTCTCAGACGAAACCAGTATTTGTTAATTGATTAATTCATCTGCTTTTGATATTTTTCAGATTTCTTTCCTCAGGAGAATGTAATCTGGATATAGTGTTTCCTCGTGTCAAATGTCATTACGCACGCGCGTCCACTGAATTTAATCAGAAACAGAACCCTCATTGGGGTCCTAATTAAGAGTTTTGAATGTAGGGGGTATTGACCGATACACAAACAATGAGGGGATTGTTCGTGACGTCACTGAAGAGCAGGTGGGGACACGTGTGTCTCACTGACGACCTGCTGTGGTCAACTCTGCCAGCGCACAAGGCGGTCAATCACACTTGCCATGGACACTGGTAACTTTGGGAGATCAATACGATGATTACCGAGCATTGTTCGTGCTGGGAACAAAGAGGAGCAGATTCAAGCGTTAATTTGGCCCCCTGATTGCGGCTCCAGTTGGGTACTGCTGACACCATCGGGTACCCGAGCGTCGGGTATGTGGGTTGGAAGAAAAGTATCGGGTATCTGGGTAGGGAGAAACGTATCGGTTATCTGGGTAGGAAGTAAAGTATCGGGTATCTGGGTAGGAAGAAAAGTATCGGGTATCTGGGTAGGGAGATGAGTATCGGGTATCTAGATATCACTAATAGCATCGGATATCTGGGTATACTGCTGACAGCAAGTGGTATATGCGTGTTACTGAGGGAATAAGTGGGTATGGGTTTACCCTGCTTTTAGCAATATTCTAGCCACGTTACGGGGGGTGGGTGGGTGAACACCAGAAATGAGCTTCACACATTGTACTCGTGTAGGGAATCGATCCCGGGTCTTTGGCGTGACGAGCGAACGTTATAACCATTAGGCTACCCTACGTTTTCATTACTTAGAGAACTTGGTACTATCTTTGATCCGAAATAATGCACATAAAAAGCATCCTTGATGAAATACAAAATGGCGGCCAGAACAGAGGGAAACACAGCAGTCGTATATATTGCTATAACACAGAGGTTAACATGTATTACATCTCTTGCCAAATCTTATCACTGTACCATTTCTGTTGAATGCACGCGAAAGGACAAGAAAGTTCAAAGTTTTCACTATTGACTCTAAAGTATTTATAAAACTAATCGAAAGTTAAATTCTCCTGACGCATATGTGAAGACATAAACAATCAATACCTAATATTATATCCATTAAATGTTTTTGTTCAAGACTGAATCAGTTGATGAAACGGCGGGGGACACAAGGGGGCTTCGAACATTGTAGTGTGTGGGGAATCGAACCCGGGTCTTCGGCGTGGCGAGCGAACGTTTTAACCACTATAGGCTACCCCACTGCAGGGATTCATTGCGTATTGTCTACGTCGGCCAACCGAAGTAAAAACGTGTATTTTTCAACTTTATAAGTTGAATTTGCATAGAGAGAGAGAGAGAGAGAGAGAGAGAGAGAGAGAGAGAGAGAGAGAGAGAGAGAGAGAGAGAGAGAGAGAGAGAGAGAGAGAGAGAGAGAGAGAGAGAGAGAGAGAGAGAGAGAGAGAGAGAGAGAGAGAGAGAGATTATTTTATTATTGTGTCACGCAAATATTTACATAATATATAAAATCTTCAATATCACATATAAAACATCTGCCCG